CATGCGGCGCGCGCGAGGAGCGGCGCGAGGGCGGGGCGCACCTCGCTCTTGAAGAGGTGCGATCCCTCGATGGAGACCTTCTTGGCGCGCTTCACGGCCCACGCGCGGCCGTCGGGGCCCTCGCCGCGATGCACGCTGCTGTACCCAGCCGCCTCGATCGTCCCCGCCTCGTCGAAGTTGTTCGTCGCGACCTGCGGGGGAGGAGAGAGACGCGCGGAGAGGGGGAGGGAGGGGAAAGCGGGGAGGGTGAGGAGCAAAGCATGGAGTAGAGGCGTTCAGGTGTGGGGGAGGGGGGGAGCGAGCGGCGAAGCGGAAGGATGCAGACAAAAGAGCCACTCAAAAGTGACGGGGTAGGCGGCACGAGCGGGAAGGCTTAGAAAGCGGAGGGGGGATGGGGGAGCGGAGAGCGGAAAGGGGAGCGGAGAGCGGAGGGGCGAACGGAGAGCGGAGGGGGGAGCGACCTGGATGTCATTGAAGGGCAGCGAGGGCAGCGAGAAGTCGGTGTCGGCGGCGCTGCTGGTGTACTTCTGCGACCCGATGCGCAGCACGCGCCGCGGCTTGTTCTGCTGGCCGTCCACGTGGTGCTTCCACTTGCCTGCGCCACGACAGAGCACAGCGGAGCAAAGCGCGCCGAGTGAAGCAGAGCATTGCGCGTCACGCGTCGCAGAGCAGAGCGCGCCGCGCCAGGCAACAGCGAGCACCGCGTGGGGACACGCACGCACGAGCGGACACGCACGCACACGCACAAACAGAGGGAGAAATTTTTGAAGTCTCAAGGAGGCAGAGAAGGATTCAAAAGGGCGGGTGGACGAGGGCAAGGAATCTTTCAATCAACAGAAAAAACCGGAGAGTGGGAATTGGAGAGTGGAAAAGGAAGAGCGGTGATACCTTGAGGAGGGGGAGCCGGTTTCCAGAACACGAAGATGGCGATGAGAATAGCGATCGCCACTACAATGAGCGACCCCACCACGATCGTCAGTATCAGCTGATCGCCTGCCGCGGAGGGAGCGGAGGTGGGGGAGAGCGGGGTGGGCGCGGGGAGAGCGCGGGGAGAGGGAGCAAGAGGAGGATAAGGGGAGAGCGGAAGGGGGGAAGCGTTAGACAGAGGGTGAGAGGAGCTGCAGCGAGTGAAAAATAGTGGAAGAAGGCGTACGAGTGAGAACGAGTGGCGGGAGAGGGACGATTCGTAACGGCGTGTGCGAGTTCGAGTGTGGGCGCGAGTATAGATGGGGAAGAGGGAGATCAAGCGGCGGGAAGTCGAGCGACGATTGGAGTGAGCATACTCATTTGCACGTCGATGAGCGCGCGGCGGGGAACGAAGGCCGCTGATTGGCGGATGACCCGATCGTGTAGTCAGGGAGAGGAGAAGGAGACGTGAGAGATGATAAGGGAAGAGGGGTAAGAGAAGAGAGGGAGACATGGCGTGAGGTTCACGAAGATCACGTAGGGAGCAGATTAGCGGGCAAGTGCGGAACCGAAAATAAATGCGCGAGAAATATTTTATGGCGAAGTCAGGGAATCAACGGATGGAGAAAAAGGAAAAACAGTTGAGGTACCAAGGAATGAAGGAATGGTGACAGGGATGTTCAAGTGGAAGGCGTACGCGACTGGGAGTGAGCGACGGAGCAGCAGAGCGAGAAGACGAGGAGGGAGAGGAGGAGAGGCGCCAATGGGGACGGCGACCGCGACGCCAAGCCGCACACACGCGCCGGTCTTGGTCGGTCCTTGGAGCTCGGCGCGCAACAGGCTCTTCTCGAGGCGCCCGCCATTGGAGCACGCGCGGCGCGGGACACGGGAGGCGAGGTGCGGGGTGCGCTCAGCGGATCCGCGTTGACAGGAGGTGAGAATTTAACGAGCGGCGCGCGCGCGTCAGCTAAGGGTCCTACACGTGGGGTCCTTGAGATCGACGGTTGTCCGACCTTCAAGCCACACTCTCGCAAGCTGGGTGCTGAAATTACAGTCTGATATGCAAGGCAGGTGGGCCAGGGAATGTTAGAAGGACTGGGAAAACTACCACTATCGACGAACTATATAGACAGACTACTAGCGGTATGCTGACGGATTAACGACGGACTGCCGACGGATTACCGACAGAGTACCTACGGACTACCGACGTGGAGGAGGAAAGAACTAGCGAGGAGACCTACTAGGAGCGTTCTTGGTTAAAGCGAAGCCTTTCTGAAAATTCCGCCATTGTGTTTAGCCGAGATTTGGCTTCTCTTTATCATCTAAGTTCGGGGTCTCGAATCAAAAGAAACAACTCGTTCCGAGAGCTGAGTCGTCGGAGGTTGACCTGGTAAGAATTGCACCCACTTAGTTCGGCTAATTACATGGGGTGGGACAAATAACGTCAGGCTGAAATTGGTGCTCTCGCGTTTGAACAGGTTGTAAGATGACTTAAAACTAGCCGACAGATGGATGGGGCGACAGATTGAAGCAGTATACTCGCTCGAGACGAGGTGAAGACGCGAGGGAAGCGCAGCGAATGAGACACGAGGCGAGGAAGAAAATAAGGGGCAGCACAAGGTGACGACGGAGAGAAAGGAGGCACTGTGTGACGTTGAACGTAGGAGAGACTGGCGGCGGGACAGACGAGGAAGACGGAAGCGAATACACGCCGCATGAAGCGTTGATTGGGTTTCTTGCTTACTCCTCCTCGTCCTAGCGGGCGGGAATGGGTTTGTGGGTGTTTCCACTTGGCGGGAGAGTGATGACTGTGATGTGAGAGGGGCGTCAATCGAGGGCAGGAGGGAGCGAGAATGGCGCATGCTTGAGTTGTGCTGTACGGGGCGGACTGTGCAATCAGGCGAAGCTCACGGCAAGGGCGAACTTGACGGTCAGGCAGGGGGGAGTCAACAAAAGGAATCATAGCAGGTTTCCCTTGGTGCGTGCGGACCGACCTAGGAGTATGACGAGGGACCCGCCCCAGCGAAAGGAGGAAATTTTGTTTGACAGTGGGGTTGGCGAAATTTTCGCAGGGAGCCGCAACCCTGCCTGATTCCCGCAGGAGGCGGGGCTTCCCCTGAGGAGTTGACGGGCAGGCGGTGAACAGACACTGTCCAGGTGGCACTGTAGGCTGCGGCAAAAGCAAATGGAACCCAATTTCAATTTCAACGGGGGCCCGCTCGACTGGAGTGGAATGGGGCTGACCGCCGCACCCTGCTCAGCTTGAAGTGGAATTCGCGCCAGGTGTGTTTTCAGGAGGTGACTAGTGCTGGTGAGCGACTCGGTTTTTGAGAAGATTCAGATTGCAACGAATGTGGGCTGGGCAATGGGTAACCAACAAGCCTCGCCTCAGCGACAGGCGGGGATTGGGGCACCGCCAGGGGAAGGAAAATCGACGAATGGTACGGCTTATTCGGGTTTGACTTGCAAATCCGCCTTGCATCCTCAATTCAGGTTGCGAGAAATCCGCCCCTCCGTCAAACAAGGCCCACCTTTGGTTGGGAGCGCATTTGCTCCGCTGGGATGTGATTCTCGGCTATGAATAGTGAAGTATAGTACAGTGGGTAGTTGACAGAAAGATCTGACAAATACAGCTCAGGTTAACTCAAACGCTAATCTTTGATAAAGCTAGACCAAAGATATAAAGCATCCAATGTGGAAGCCGCATTGACATACGTTGACAAATAAATCATACTGCTATTAATTATGGCATTTTGCATAAACATTATAAATGTGCAGAAACCATGCGCCTTGATACAAAATTGATCCTACCAAGGTAGATATTACATCCTATCTGTGTCTGTTCAAGCCAGTAAGCAAAGCACCATTCACACCAGATTTTTATATGTCATTGTGTAATTTCTCTGCCTTAGATGCTCAATGCGCTGTGTGCTATTCGCTCTGTATTGCATCCCACCTACTGTGTTATTGTGAAACATGGACAGCGTGGACTTCCTCGTGTCACGTGCCCCTCCGCCTGTAAACACGTACAGACAGGTCATCGCAACTGGTCTTTTCACTTTTCCACGTCGGACTGCTGCGTGGCTCCACCGCACGTGGTCAAAGCGGTGCCATCTTGTGGCTGCCAAACACAATGCGGGTGCACATGCACCCTCAAACCTCTTCCGCGAATAGGAGCGTAGAGTTGCGCGTCGGTGATTCGCGAGACAAGAGCATGAAGGTTGTGGGGTATAGGAACAAAGGAGAGTGAGGAGGCCGCTCATCCCGTTCCGTCCCCTCCCTCTCGCACATTCCCTCCCACCCACACCCAAGTCCCCTCCCCACACCCCCCACCTACAGTACAGTACTCATCCCCCCGCCAGCCAAATCACTCATTTCTTCCCTCTGCCAATTTCGTGGCGCCAATTTCCTTGGCCAAGGCTACCACATTTGCTACAAAGCCACTGGGCCGACTAGGAAGGAGTAGTAGGATCTTCTGTTTTGCCTCCAACCCTTGCCTAAACTGCAGTAACAACTGATATTGGTCGTCAGAATCCTCGTTTTGGCTTTGCGTTCCTACGATCCTGACGAATGAACGAACGCGCGGACATATGTTGCGACGTTATCTTTTAAAAGCTGCTGTTTGAGAAAAAAGCTGCGACAAATCAGGGAGCTCACGAAACCAGCTCCTCCGGTTATCCTGGAAAATTCCATCAACATTGCTGAGGCGTTGGGATCCAGACAAAGCTCCTGGGAGTGCGACCAGCTATTACTAGCAGTGCACGGCCATGGCATCGACTTCAATCACCAGTAATGCGTTACGCGCGTCTCAATTCTCCTGTCCCGCCAACCTCCGCTTGCCCGCGCACGAGCGCGCTGTTCCGCACGCGCGCATCCTCCTCTCTCCGCCGCGCTGGGCCTTCCAAAGAAGAAATCGAGGAGTTCCCACCGGCCTTCGTCAGGTCGTGAGCGCGACAGCGTGCATCGCGGTCGAACGGGGAAATGGCGCGCTGGCGGAGTCGACGGCAGTGAGGGAGCTTGAGCGGGAGGAGCGGCGCGCAGTGGACCGGTCAGAGCGGCTGATGGAGAGCCCGTACGCGCCCGTCAAGTCCGCCATGACGCCTTGCGTACGTATCCCACCTCGCCGCTGCCGACACACCCGCGGCGGCGCGGTCCGAGCCAAAACCGTATGGAATGGCATGTCTAAATAACTCAAAACGGGATCTACAAGCCGTGTGACAGTCCTTTTCTGCCACGTGCCGTACACACGGTACGGACGCTACGATCTCTCCATTCCTTGCTGTCGATGCCTCTGTTCCTGTCCCTGTCGCTGTTCTTGTCGCATGGTGTTGATTGAATTCCATCTTGCCTTCGTTTCCAAGTTCGGCGCGCACAGCTCTTTAAAACTGGCATCCTCCACGACAGTTCCTTGACGCGAGATTTACGCCTTTATCCCCAAGCTACGGCTCTGTCCGTGTGTCCTCTGTTCCGCTCACCACCTGAGATCCTTCCCTAGCGACTTTCACATGAGTCCCCAAGGATCCGGATTGTTTCTGGCCTCTTAATATTTCGTCGTGTTTCGGCTCTCCCCTATCCATTCTCCTCCTGGTGCGCCCCGCAGCCAGTCACTACGCGGGCCACTGCTCCACTGACGGAGATCCTGGGGCACTTTGAGCATTTCACGGGGCTGCCCGTGGTGGACGGCGAGGGGCAGTGCGTGGGCATCGTGTCTGACATGGACGTCGCGAGATGCCACAAGGGGGCCCTCGCGAGGAGCGCGGCGGAAGTCACTGTGGGGTGAGACAGCACGGCCAGGGGTGTGCGTGTGCCTTAATGGAGTGTTTGAGTGCAAGGGCACAATGTGTGCTTGCTTGAGTACACATGCTTGCTTGAGTGTGGGTGAGAGTGGGTTGCATGCCTGCGTGCGTACGAGGAGTGCGTGCAAGAGTGCATGTGGGGGTTTTGAGGGGCGCGGCCGTGTTTCTGGTAGCTGAGCCGTTCGCCCTGTGGCGCCCAAGAGCTTTGATGGTGAAAGGCCCAACATTACTCCCATTGGTCTTTTTCCCGTGATCTTTCCGTGTGTGAGAAATTTGATTAGAGCTGGGTGGGGAGTAGGCACCAAAAATACTAACTAGTTCTGCACCTCACCGAAACACATAGTACTGTTGTTTCACATGCTGTGCGTGCGTGCAGGGACGTCATGAGTGCGCCAGCCATCGTGATAGTGCAACACGCGCCCGTGGCATATGCAGCGGGGCTCATGCTCAAGCACAAGGTATTGCCCACCAGACATCCCTTCCCCTCCCCCACAGCTTGTAAAGAAAGAAACTCCCATGCTTCTTTTCCTATTCCTCTTCCCTCTATTCCTATTCCTCTAATCCCCTCTCTCTATTCCTCTCCCTCCCCTGATTCCTATTCCTCTCTCATTCCTCGCCCTCTATTCCACCTGACCAATCCACCACCATTTGCCACGGACGGTCGACGCACCCATGTATATTCTGATGATTATGAGTCCCTCTTGTCGCTTTCCTCTTACAATGCACAAGTCCCTCTCTCCCCATGTGTGTCTGTCCCGTGTTGCCATGTCCGTCTGGTATGCCTGTGCTGTGGTTGCAGGTGCACCGGCTGCCAGTAGTAGATGACCATGGGGTGGTGGTGGGCATTGTCACGCGCACTGACATCTATGAGCCCATGCTGCCGCCCGTCAATGCGCTGCTGCACCGCGCCACCGGCTTCAACCCCAACGACTTCCCCAATTTCTAGGGAGTCTCGTTCAGGGGATGAGCTTGGAGAACAGAGATAATGGGGATGAGAAATAGATGGAACGTTTTGTGAGGCGGTGATGGGTGGGAGAAGCAGGGCCAAAGACGGGAGCTTTGGAGATTTGTGTGTGCGGCACGATTTTCAAAGGAAGACCGTGCAATTTTGGGGGATAGGAGGCCTATTGTGGTACATTTTTGTGTTCATATGTGCATATTGTATATAGTTTTTTTTTTCATCCATAGTTGCCTATGAAGCTTTATGGATTATTGGTGTGAGCATTCGAAGATTCTGTTACTTACATAATTTCCTTTTCGCACGTAGGATATTCACGTAACTTTGAGCTACAATTTTCGCGTAACATATTGAACTCCGTCTGGTTTCGCAACATCAACTCTTCCACTCCGCTCCTCAGGTTTCTTCGCTCGCCCTCTCCGCCCCGCACCCTTCTTCACCACCCGCCTCCATCCCACACCCTCGGCTCTAGTCACGTCCCGTCTCAACTAGTGTCCGCATATCGCGCTGATTGATCAGCTTCACAGCATGGACGAGGCGAATGGGAGCGGCGATGGCGCCGCGCCGATCGAATCGCTGGCCTGTCTGCGCTGCAGCAAGCCTGCGCGCCTGCAGTGAGTTTGCGCGAGGTCCAATAGGCGGGCTATGAGTTGCGCGGCTGGAGTGAGGTTGCGCGCAGCCGAATAGGCGGAATATGAGCTTATCCGCCGCAATCCTCACCCGAGTATCCGTTTCGCTAACCCCAAACAACCCTGACCGCTTTGTCATCCTGGAATCGCGTCCGATACCTCATGCTATCCTGCGTCTCCCACCCGTCCCTTCCGCGGTCAATTCAACGCGTCTTTCCCGTACCCGCCGTCTCCCTGTGCTCGCTTTCCCCGTGCGCGCTTTCCCCGTGCGCGCTTTCCCCGTGCGCGCTTTCCCCGTGCGCGCTTTCCCCGTGCGCGCTTTCCACCGTGCGCGTTTTGCCCGTGCGCCGTTCCGCCAGGTGCCCCAAGTGCCTGGAGCTGAAGCTTCCGCGCACCAACGCCTCTTTCTGGTACGCCGTGACGGACGCAGGCTAGGAGGGGGAGAACAGGAGGGGGAAGGGGGGAAAGGGGAGAAGGCAACTGATGGGAGCGGGATGAAAGGGGTCGGGATGAAAGGGGGCAAATGGAATGTTGTTCAGAAAAGGGGGAAGGCGTGAGGGTGGGGGGAAAAGGGTGGATGTCCGTTAGAAGGGTGCTGGAAGAGGAGGGGCGAGGGGAGGAGGAGAGCGGCAGAGGAAGTAGCGCGCTGAATGGACTCGAGAGTAGATGGCGAGCAGGGTTCATGGCGCACGGCTGCTGCTGCTGCCGCTGCCTCATCGACCTCCAGCCAGGTTTCAGGGTTTTGTACCTCCCTTGCGCGTCGTCCCCCCTCCCCCCGTTCCCCCCTTTCCCCGCGCGCTCCCTCCGTCGACCCGCGCAGCTCGCAGGAGTGCTTCAAGGCGTCGTGGGCGGACCACAAGGCGCTGCACAAGGCGCCGCCCGCGGGGGAAGGCGCGGGCGCGGGCGCGGTGGTAGCGGGGGGCGCGGGGGAGGGGGAGGAGGTGGCGCGGTACCTGCAGCAGGGGTGGCTGTACGTGCTGCGCAAGGGGCAGACGCGCGCCGCCAAGATGCCGCCCTTCGACTGGACCGGGTGAGCGCCTCGCACTCCAAGAGCCGCGCCGCACTTGCTGGGGATTGGAACCGTGGGAGGGCTCGGGTTCAGGGTTTAAAGAGTAGCCTTGTGGCGGAGGTTTATGAGGCTTGGTGTTGGGAATGGCAACAGTTGGAGAGAGGGTTTCCTGGCTTGGATGGATCGTAGGCGGGTTGTGGCAGGATGGGGGGGCCTGCTGGTGCTGGCCAGCCAGGCTAGTGATGGGTTATGGGGGAGGAGAGAGGGGATAAGGGGTGGTCTTGTGGAAGGAGGCAATGTGGAAGGGAGAATGGAGGAAGGCGGAGGCAAGGTTACTGTTGTTTCGTGTTCCACTATGCCTTGGCGCATCACACTGCACCGCTTTGCACCGACACTACCACCATTCCCTCCTCTTTCCACGCTCTCGTTTTTCTACTCCACTCCACTCCACCCCTCCCCTCACCCTCCCATTCCCAGTCACTTTCTCAACTCAACCCCCCTTCCACTCCCCTTCCCCTTCCCCCCAATCCAATCCCCTTACACCCTGCTCTTTCCTCCGTCATCGCTCCTTCCACTCTTCTCCGTCTTCATTGCTCCGTCCCCCTATCCCTCCCCACTCACCGCTTCGCTCCCCCTTCCCTCCCCCCGTTGTCCCCCGTCCACAGTCCCCTGCGCCCCTTCCCAGTGTCGCCGCGCCGCCCTGTACCCGCGCACATTCCGCGCCCTGACTGGGCCGACACGGTCAGTGCTGCTGCCATCCCGCCTCACCACCGCTATTGTATCAACTCTCTCACTGTCAGCTCTCTCGCCTGCTTCTCACTTGCTCCAGTTCGCTCCTGCACACTCTCTCCCTTTCTCTCAAGCTCTTTCCCCTGGCCCACTCCCCTCCCCATCCTCTAACCTCCTCTCCCTCCCCTCCCCTCTCTCCCCACCCCTCCCCCTTCACATTCCCCTCTCTCTCGCAGGGGCGACCAGAGGAGGAGCCCAACAGCCAATGGCAAAACAGCGTCGAGGTGACGTGCCGCCCTCCCTCCCTCCCTCCCTCCCTCCCTCCCTCCCTCCCTCCCTCCCTCCCTCCCTCCCTCCCTCCCTCCCTCCCTCCCTCCCCCCCCTCCCTCCCTCCCTCCCTCCCTCCCTCCTCCCTCCCTCCCTCCCTCCCTCCCTCCCTCCCTCCCGCCCGCCCTCCCGCCTACCTCTATTGCGGCCGCCGATCGGTCTCGCTCCTCACACCACCCTCTTCCGCTGCCCTTCTCTTTCCCACCCAACCGTTGGTGCGCCTTCCTTGTCGTCCTCATGTATTGGTGCTCTTGCTACCCAGTCCCCTGCCACTCAGTCCCCTGCCACTCAGTCCCCTGCCACTCAGTCCTGTGTGTGTGTGTGTGTGCGCGCGCGCGCGCGTGTGTGTTTGCGCGTGCACTGTTCGTGCATCTCTGTATGATTGTGAGTGCAGATCAATTCACCAGAGAAGATAGAGCGAATGCGGCATACATGCAGGGTGAGCCCTTGTAAACCCCCTGCGCTACTCTCTTCGAATTCTCTGCAACGTGCACGATGCCACATGCACTAGTGCAAGTCTCAAGCTGTCTCCCACAAGCCAAACACCAGCATTGCTGCACCCACACACCCTTGCAGTCTCCTCCTCTGCCCAACCGCTTTCTGAATCCTACCATCACTCCCTTCCCCTGGCCCTACCCTTTGGCCCGCCTTTTCCTGCCGCACACCAATGTGCCTAGTCCTGGTGCATCCCTCATGTGCTACCTTGTGGTGCGTGGCAGAACCATCAATCCACCCTACCCCAACCTTTTTGCCCCTTCCTCTCTCTTTGTCCCCTCGTCCCTGCCCCTGCCCCTCCCACTACTGCCTGCCTGTGATGCCCCCCCCCCCCATGTGCAAGCAGGTGGCGAGGGAGGTGCTGCATGTGGCAGCAGCCATGATCCACCTCTCGATCCATGCCACTCCTCTGCCTTTCCCGCTACGCATTCCCCTCTCTGCCCTGTTCTCCGACACGTCCTTCATGTCCCCATGGGTGCGCTGACATGACAGGTGGCGCGCGAGGTGCTGGACGTGGCAGCAGCCATGATCCGCCCCGGGGTGACCACGGACGAGATAGACCGCGCCGTGCATGACGCCACCATCCAGGCCGGTGGGACACGGCACGGCACCCAGGGCGTGTTGTGTCATGGGGGGTGCGGTGCTGTGCGGTGTTGTGCAGTGTGGCGTGGTGGCATGGTGTGGTGTAGCAGAGTCGACTCGAAAAGGGAAAGCTGCGGGCATGGAAGGGCGATTGCTGTCCTTTGAGTCGAGTCCATATGATGAAAGGGCAGGGAGGGGCAGGGGCAGGAGCAGTGGGGCAGGGGCAGTGGGGCAGGAAAAATGAGAGGAGTTTTGAGATGTGGGCGTGCGTGCTGTCGCTGCTGTGCGTCTCCACCCTTGCGCGGTCTTCTTGGATACGCCTACAAGGGTGCTTGTATCTAATCCTTCCGCCCAAGCTCAATCTACTTATTTTCTGTCATTCCCCCCACCAATCCATGTGGCGTGGCATGGTGGGTGCAGGCGGGTACCCGTCGCCCCTCAACTACTACTTCTTCCCCAAGTCCTGCTGCACGTGCGTGCTCCCTTCTTATACTCCACTCAAACACCTGCTGCACGTACATGCCCTCCTTTATATGATGGCCCATGACAAGTGATCTAGTCTGGGGAAGTCATGCCAGTGTGGTGTGTGTGTCGTGGCACGTCTGTGTATGTGCGTGCACGCGCGCGAGCGTGCGTTCAGGCGTCGCTGTGTATGATAGAGTGTTTCGAGGGGGAGTTGGAGGGGGCTGTTTAGAGGAGTGTGAGTGGGGGAAAAAAAAGATAAGTCAAGAAAAAGCACATGGAGAGAACAAACACTACAGACAAGCAAGCCTGCCCGAGGACTCATTTAGTTGCCTTTTATTCTTTCTAAGCCCGCTCTGCACACGTCCATCTCCCCTCGTCCACTCCCCCACTGCCACATCTCCCTACTCCCGCCCCTTCCCCCTCTGCCCCCTGTGGAGCTGGAGTGCAGGTCGGTGAACGAGGTGGTGTGCCATGGCATCCCGGATTGCAGGCAAGCACATGCCATGCCATGCCATGCCATGCCATGCCATGCCATGCCATGCCATGCCATGCCATGCCATGCCATGCTCTTCCTTGCCTTGCCCTGCCATGTCATGTGGTTCGGTTTCATGCCATGCCATGCCACGCCATGCCATGCCATGCCACGCCATGCCATGCCATGCCACGCCATGCCACGCCATGCCATGCCATGCCACGCCATGCCATGCCATGCCACGCCATGCCATGCCATGCCACGCCATGCCATGCCATGCCACGCGATGCCACGACATGCCATGCCATGCTGTCTAATGCGTGAGGTTTCATCCTCACGCCCTCTCCCATGCACAAATTCTTTCATGCGTCGATGATGGCCGCCACGCCTCACATCTCAGCACCCCTTTCAACCACCCTCAACTCTTCCTCTCTCTCCCGCTGCACGGTGCGAGCAGGAAGCTGCAGGATGGCGACATTGTGAACGTGGACGTCACGGTCTACCTCAACGGCTGCCATGGTACTCCACTCTCCCTCCTGCCGCCCACCTGCCCCTCCTGCCCGCCTGCCCACCCGCCCTCCCACCCACCCAACCCATACCCCCGCCCACCCGCCTGCCTGCCTGCTCTGCCGCTTTCCTTCCTTCCTCCAGCCCCCTTCTCCTCCCTTCGTCCTACTGCCCACGCTCCTTTTTCAAGGCGCCTCAAACTCGTTCCTGCTTTTCTATTCCACGCTGTGCGGTCCATGTGGAGATTCCAGTGTATCTCTCCAGGCTATGATGTGGCAAGATGTTGCAAGATGTCATCACGTGGCATGATGGGTCATGATGGGTCATAATGGGTCATGATGGGCCATGCTGTGGCATGGTGTATGGTGGTCACGTGCACTGCTGTACGGTGTATCCGGAAGGGCAAGGTGCAGTGGCACATTGCGAATCAGCGCCACATGGTCACTCTCTCGTGTCTCGTGGGCTCTTGATTGATAACACGTATTATGTTCATCATTTGCTGCAATGGGGCATGGGACATTGCACATGGCACTTGGGGCATGTGGGGCATGTGGGGCATGTGGGGCATGTGGGGCATGGGGCGTGGGGCGTTGGGCGTGGGGCATGGGGCGTGGGGCGTGGGGCGTGGGGCATGGGGCGTGGGGCATGGGGCGTGGGGGCGTGGCAGGTGATTTGAACGAGACCTTCTTTGTGGGCAAGCCCAGTGAGGCGTCGGTACATCTCGTGCGCACCACCATGGAGTGCCTTGATAAGGCCATCGCCATGGGTATGCAACTGCAACCACCCTCTTGTGTTTGTGTGTGCGCACGCCGCGCGCGTGTGTGTCTGCATGCGTTGGCATGCGCACGTGTTTGTGTGTGCGCGTGTGTTTTTTCCCTCTTCTCCAGTGGCCCTCCTGCACTTGTGCATAGGCGCACTCTCACTCATTTGTCCAAACATGCGAGCACACCAACACACACAGAATTAGGCAACCTGTCTGCCCGTTTCATCTCGTTATTTCATTGCTGTTGGCACATCATCATCCCCTCCCTGCCGTGATGCCATCCCTTGCCCCTCCTGCATACATACCCTCTCCCTTCTACCCATCCATTTACCTGCCACCCCTTTTCCCTTCTCCATCACCATCATCTCGCATTCATTCCTCCATCCTCCTTCCTTCCCCGTCGCGTGCCTCCATGCCACCCCACCCCCCTTGTTCCGTGCGGGCAGTGAAGCCAGGGGTGCGGTTTCGGGAGGTGGGGGAGGTGATCAGCCGCCATGCCGCTCAAGCTGGCCTCTCCGTGGTCAGTCTCCCTGCTGCCGCCGCCACCGCCGCCGCCACTGCCACAGCAGCAGCAGCAGCAGCAGCAGCAGCAGCATAGGCCGTAACTGAAATTGCAACATGGCTGTGAGCTGGCTGCTGCAGCGCAATCGCAGTGACATGCAGCAGCACCCACTCACTCACACACACACACACACATGTGCATGCACGAATGGGCACGCTCTAAGGAGCATCGGTACAGGATTTCCTTCCATACCCCACCTGCATTGCTTATTTGCTTCCATAACAGCTTGACGCATGCTTCTGTGTTACCCCAAAGCCATGCCTCGCGGGTCACTGGTATCTTGCAGCAGAGCAGCAGCATGAAGAGCATGACCAGTGAGACGAAGTGGGGAGAGTGGAAATGTGTGTGAAGCCACATTCCACTCTTATGATTGTGTCACTGGGAAGAGTAGCAGAGCGTAGTGAGCAACAGTCGTGTCTATTGCGTTTGCCTTTGTATCATGTTTTTCGTCCCTCGCTTGTGTTTGTCTTGTCTGTTGTGTGTGTCTTTGCTGTCGTCAGGTGCGTACATACTGTGGGCATGGAATAGGGGAGCTGTTTCATTGCGCGCCCAACATTCCCCACTATGCCAGTGAGCCATTCTTCCATGCCTTATGCTCCATGCATGCCCCATGCATCAGACATCCTGCCTCATGCATTATGCCTCATGCCCTGTGCATCATCCACGTGCCGTGCCTCATGCATTTTGCCTCCTGTCTCATGATCATGCCATAACTCCATTCTTGCACTTCCTGTCGTCGCCTCGTGCGCTATGGCATGTCCATGTGTGGCCAAGTGAGCAGGTGGGCATGTGGCAATGTAGGCATATGGCCATGTATGTTGTGGTGTCGCACATTCACTGTTCATTGTGTATTGCATGTCGTCAATCTTACGGCCCCTTTGCCGCATACATTGCCATATGTGCTCATTCATTGGCATTTGTGCACATAAATTGCCATACGTGAGCATACATTGCCCTATGTGTGCGTTCGTTGCCATATGTGCGTATTGATTGCCCTATGTGTGCAATCATTGCCATATGTGCGTATTGATTGCCCTATGTGTGCGTACATTGCAGAGAACAAGGCGGTGGGTCTCATGAAGGCGGGGCAGATCTTCACCATCGAGCCCATGATCAACGCTGGTACGTACACCCTTTGTTTCAAGAGGTCACAAAATTGCACTCAGTAATCTCTTTGTCGGCATTGCAACCCTCTTCCCTTCCCTCCCTCCCTCCCTCCCTCCCTCCCTCCCTCCCTCCCTCCCTCACTCACTCACTCACCACTCATCTTTCACCACTCGTTTTTCTCTCCTGTTCTCGTTACCCTAACCTGGGTACTTAGGTGGATGGAAGGATCGCATGTGGCCAGACGGATGGACAGCAGTTACATCTGATGGCTCGCCAAGTGCACAGTTTGAGCACACCATGCTGGTAAGCTGGCCTTATGTGACTTGCTTCTGGAGCTGCCGTGCAGCCCAAGTACCGTACTTGGCAGGAACGTTTTGAGAATGCATTTATGAAGCTTTGTAGTGGCATTGAGTTATGCGGTAGTGTTTTGTTCCTATCAGATCCATCAAATTGCTTTTCGTATCTTTTACTCCCCACCGCTTTTGGCAAATGGTTCAGGTGACAGAAACAGGTTGTGAGGTTCTTACTGCTCGGCTCCCATCGTCGCCTAAAGTTTTTCCATGGTTATCATAAGCGTAGAGAATGTGCTGGCGCTGTAACAAAAGATCCATGCTAGCTTCTGCTTCTACGCTTCCTGAGGTGTCTCATAAGGGAAAGCTAATGCTAGACTGCCATGGTGGTTGTAACTACTTGTCAGGTTTCTTCCTCACTATTTGAGGTCTAACCTTTTATTCAAACCCTACTTACTGATGTTCAGTCCTACAATAATCTAAAGGTTAGAATCAGCCTTGAAAGCTCAACAAAGTTGTCTGGCATTAGGATAATGCTCGGAGCTCCTGTGCAGCAATAACCCCACATCAAATGGCTGAGAGTCAGCTAGCTGTTCTTCTTGCCACCAGGGTAGATGCTGATGCTGCTTGCGCGCCTCGGTCGTTCCTCAGCTTCAGAATCCAGACTTCTAATGTCTCGGCTTGCAACTCCAAGGTCACAGGAATTGACCATGGCACCAAACTTGAGCGACCCCAAGGTCTCATCAGTTGATGAGCTGTCTGGTGAAATGTTGAGGAACATGAGCGTCCTCGACTCCTTCTCGATTGATTTCTGCAGTGACAATGATTTGCATCAGGAGCTAGAACTGGAACATCATGCACTTTGGACAACAAACGTTGAAGTTATTACCTGGAGGAGGTAGGTCAACTTCCCATCACGGTATCGCGGCAGTTCCCCCTTCGCTCTTGCCTCGAGGACGTGGGACAGGGAGCTCAAGCTCTTGTTGATTGCCTGAAGGTGGGTGTAGCAATTGGCAGGAGAGTCAATATCTGACCATGCGCGTGAAATCAAAAGATTGCAATCACAATGTTGATACGTGTCATTTGAGGGGGTTAGGAGGACGAACAGGGCGGATAAAACGTGGGGCTAGGGGACAAGGAATGAAAAACTGTCAATAGAAAGGAGCTTCTTACTATGGACTCTGTCCGTGTTGATCCGGTTGCATTCGACTTCTTAAGTCTCTCACTTCCTGCCAGATCAATCAAGTTGAGGATGCCATGTGTTGTCTCGCCAGTGTCCTGTTAGGGAAGAGAAGTGTTAATCTTGAGTACTGTCAAGTTCTACATTAAAGTGCTGCAAGACTTGAGTTACAGATGATCGCTTACCCGATTCCTGCCATTCAGCCTGAGAGTGAAGACCGCATGACTACGTGACGACTCCTCGTTCATGTCTGTCCTTGCAACAGACCTGCAAGGAAACAACATCAAATTAATTAGCTCTTGCTCGAACAGGAGTGTAAAATCTGCAAGCAATCTTTCATCATCCATACCTCTTTTTGTGTGCATGCGCAAAAATTTCAGCTGCATCCTCCACAGACTGCACAGTGACAACTTTGAGCCCAACCACTGTCGTGCTGCCATCCTTTTCATGAATGATGTTGTAGAGAGAGAGCTCCGCCTTTTTTGCCGCCGCACTTCCCTTCTCAGGCTTTGAGCTTGTAGCCTCGTCATCGCTGTGGAATCCTTTAAGCAGGTCGCGGATGGACTCGTTGTGGATCTCGAGAAGGGAAACCTGCAGGATACCAGAAGTGAAGTTCAGTTGCTGCACGTTACACAGAACTACCAAAAGCAACGGATGCATGGGCGCACCTGAATGGAGTACTCCCAGCCCATGGTGGACTTTTCACGGCTGGCCTTGAAGATTTGCTGTATAGATCGTGGAATAACTCCACGAAGAGCCTCGTCTGTGGTATCTCCAAACATGGTAAAAGTCTTCCCAGAACCAGTCTGGCCATATGCAAAGATGCAAACCTGAGAAAGACACCATGGAAACTGGGTCAGGAGGTTCTTGACTGACAGACATGAGAACCACATCCCCCCTGCCTACCTTATAGCCATCCAAAGCGCTGGTAACCAGATCAGCGATCTCTTCAAACACAACCGTCTGAGTGGTTTCAGGCGGAAAAACTTTGTCGAACTTAAAATCTCCTTCATGCCCTGATCAGCCAAAAAGGATTGGATGTCAGAAATAGAGACTACTGACGCGAGTAGTGCCATAGCAGAAGTGCGAGTAGTGTCATACCTTGAACCGCGATTTTGTTGTCAATGTTGTTCTCCGGAATGCTTACTGCCATAGCAGTAGAATTCCGTTCTCCTTCCTTCGCACTCAGGGGGCGAACACGGCAAAACACCCTTATGTTCCCTTTCAACAACTGCAGACACACAGAAACTTTAGTGAGCCTCAGACGGATTGAAGCACTTGCAAAAGCTTGTGAGAACAGCAAGGGCCTTACCATGAGCCTGTTGTGGAGGACTTTCATTCGCTTTTCCATCTCTTGCAGCAGGAGATCCTTCTTACGGAAAAGCTGCTCCCTTTCAGCCAACTCTCGCCGGAGCCTTGTAATCTCTGCCTTGAGATCACATTCACTTTGTGATAGCCCCTGAACAATACAAGAGAACCGAAAACATGATCAGATGGCGGCTGACCTGTCTCACACTAAGCATCAACTGAAGTGAATCATGGGAATGTATACCTCCAGATTCTTCAACTCGACTGCCTTCTGATCGACTTCCTCTCTCCTCGCAGTAACCTCCCCAGTCAGTTGACCGATCAGACCCTGCAATGTGTGACATGCATGCGGTGGATTAGGTGGTTTACGCAAGAACACAGCATTGGCACCATGCGAGAGACGTACGTTTTGAAAGTTAATTTGCTTTTCCATTTTCTCCGTTTCCTTCGTGAGCTTGTCAATCTGCGAAGGTGACATGGTAGTTAGTGCGCGTGAATCAGCCAAGAATCAAATACCGTAGAAAGGAGCTGCATCAGATACCTGATCCTGCATCATGGACTGCACCCTCTCTGCGTTTGCCGACGAAAGGTCGGCTGCGGACCTCATTGTGGCAGCTTCAACGTTCAGGTCAAAGAGTTCCTTCGTTTTGTCTTGGAGAAGCTTCTCAGAATCCAGAAGCCTTGACTTCACCTGCAGAGAGCAACCAAGGCATGAGTTAGAAGGTGGTCAAAGGGCATAGACCGTCCAAAACGTTTTACACGTACCTCTTCCAACCTCTCGTTGGCATTTTGAAGGGAAACCTTCAAGGTACCCACGGAATGCTCGAGCTCCACTTTGTCAGCACGAAGCAAGCCAAGTTCCTTCTCCTTTTCATCACGGACCATGCTTAATGCAAGGAGGTCTTTCGCCTTCTGTTCAACGTCCTGCAGTAACAATTTCAAGAAGGAAAGCGTAAGCCACACTCGAAGTGGTTAATGTGAAAAGAAGGCGAGAAAGAAGAACAACTCGATTCATTACCTCGCTTAGGGTGTCGTTCGCCAGTGCAATGTCACTGCACCTCTTCGCAAGCTGACCATTTTCGGTTTTGAGGTTCTCACAGGCTGCTTTCAACTGTTTGGCTGAGAACAGAAAAACGAAATGCACCACGTTAGACGAGCTGAGCTGTTGGCGGTGAAAAATAAACACATATAAGATGAACACACTAACGTATAAAAACCTTACCCTCCTCCGAAACGCGGCAGATTTCTTTTTCAGCAACTTCCAGTCGAGCTTTCAAGTCCTTTTCCGAATCCTCAAGGTTCTCCGCCTTTTGCTTCCACACCTGCTTGATGCAGAAACATAACTCATTGTGAGCATAACTCATTGTTCAGGTGGAACGCGACAAAGCACGGGCTTTCCAAGGTTTTACTTACCGACAAACCTTCCTCTGCGCGTTGCCTCGCTTGAATCTCTTCTTCAAGCTTGGCCTCTGCAAAATAAGTCAGTCAGTATATTGGCACTATTGAAAGAAACGAACAAAGAGGTAACCTTTTTATGGTCGTTTACCTGTGGACAGCTTCAACAGGTGCGATTTTACAGCATCATTGATGCATGCTTTCAGATCGCGAATGTACTCCCTCTGATACTCGCATCTCTTCGTCGTCTGCGAGACACGAACATACGAATGTTAATTACACCAAATGAGATGGAAACGACATAATGAAGTTCAGATACGTTTACAATGGTAGGCCGAAATTATTTCACTTACGTCAGCATGCGATTTTCCCAATTTTGGGTGGGTCCGGTTAAGGATTAGCATTCCGTTGTCATAGTGCTGCTTGAATGGATCCTCAGAGACTGCTGAAAGGTCCGATACTATCGGAGCTTCCTGAAATAAGAAAATTCATTCTGAGTTAGTCATAAAAAAAAAAAAAAAGATCAGATGAGTAGGAAAAATGGAGCAATTACCTCGGCTGGTAAATCATGACTTGCGTCAGCATCACTGTTGTGAACAACCACGGTTAAGGGGTGGCGTGACGCTGCTTGAGATGTGCTCGCGGTCCTTGCTGTAGCTCCTGGTATCCTGCTAGGATGTTCAAGCTTTCGCTTTTTCTGCTGTTCTAAAATCGACTTGTTCTCCTTATCCTGCGGGTCAGTATTCTTGATACGGTCAGCTGTAGATCCGTAAGTCGTACTGGATGAAGCCTGCCGTATCCCACTCAGCTTTGCAGGTATCCTACGGGCTGCTCCTTGCGGCTGAAAGGCACTCATCGTTGCAGTCAAGCAGGATGAGGATTCTGCTCTGTTCGTGAAGGGATAGCTGAGGGTGATGGAATGAGGATGGAAAGAACATTTGTTTGAAGGTGATCGTTGAATTCCGTGTTCAAGGTCGGGCCCTGCTAGGCATGGAGCAGTTATGACTGCCCTGCCTGATGATTGGTCCTAGAAAGAAGCGCGGGAACGTGTTTGAAAGTGTGTCAGGGCGCTGAGGATCTGACGAGACGCACCGCAAACTTTGGGAACTCTGTTGTGGTGTGGAAATCGATTTCCGCATTCGCCATAAGCTGCACCTTTATTATGGTAAAAACATAGCACTATAGTGACTTGTGTACTTCTGTTACGGGTGCAATTGAACGAACGAGTGAAGATTGCACTAATCAGTCAAACAAGTACAAATGTGAGCAAAGGCATGAACAAAAAATATATCAAAAACAGCAAATGGTAAGGAAGTGTGTGTGAGCTAGCAAGTGCGATGATGGCAGCGATATTCGGGCTTTTTTCGAAGCGTAGGCCGAATCAGCCAAGTCAAGAAGTGCAAAGTTTGGCAATCGTGAAGCTTGAAATGGCGCACACCATTTAGCGGTACCGTGCAGAGAAACGGATGGTCTTGTACACGTTGTTTAGGTTCGCAGTAAGGATTCTAATCATAATATTAATAAAAAAGTCCTTACAACTTCATTCTTCTCGTGCTTATTATAAGAAACAACTTTACCTGACTTCTCGTCACATCACATAACGCGTTTATGACTAATGCCGCCACTGTACACCGAGCAGTAGTTACCATATCGCAACACTTGCCACGAGACAATTCTCACCATCGTGACCACCGCACCCAAACCATCCGGCTCTGTCAGAATAGATTTTGTATATATTTCTGTATAATTGCATGTAGTTCTAGCTGTAGTGTAGTTATATAGCTGTTCTGTTTGGTGGTGCACCCTTTGGCTTCCTATTTTTTGTAACTCTTCTATTAGTGAAGCCCTCTTTGCTTTGGAAACTCTCTCGACACACTCTTGCCTAGCCTAAACCATAGGCTCATTGTTCTAAGTTATGAAGCTATTTTGACATGCTACCAAAGCACGTAAGATCCTGGCCTGTTACTTTTTAATTACCTCATGGGCCCACCATTAGCTTCCGCCAATGTGCCCCTCTGCTACCCGTCGCGCGCCCCGTGCGCGCGTCGATTTTCTGCCCGTCGCGCGCCCCGGACGTGCGTCTATTTCGTGCCCGTCGTGTGCCCCGAGGCGCGCGATGGTTTCCTGCCCGTCGTGCGCCCCGAGGCGCGCGACGGTTTCCTGCCCATCGTGCGCCCCGAGGCGTGCGACGGTTTCCTGCCGTCGCGCGCCTCGGACTCGCGACGGTTTCTGCCCGCCCGCGTGCCCTACTGTCGCCCGCGCAGCTCCTACCCCGCTCCCCCTTCTCTTCCAACTTCCTGCTGCGCGTGCCGCAGTGGGGGGGAGGGTATGGGGGTGGCGGGTGTGAGTAATCAGCTGCCGCCCCTCTTCCTCTCTCTCCCACTACCGCACATGCCACTGTGGGGGGGAATAGGGTGTGGGGGAGACGAGGGAGTGGCGGAAGGGATGCCGAGGGGTGTGAAAGGGAGTTTTGGCAAAATGGGGAAGGTTGAAGGTGGGGTGGCCGCCGTGAAGCGAGCAGCTCTAGTCGCCCGTGAGCCCGTTGCTCCAGTCGCTTGTGAGCCCGTTGCTCCAATCGCCCATGAGTCAGTCGCTCCTGCTGCTCGTCTAGCTGCGGAGGAACCAGTTACTCCAGTTGCCCGTGTGCCAGTTGCTCCAGTTGCCAGTGTGCCAGTTGCTCCAGTTGCCCGTGTGCCAGTTGCTCCAGTTGCGCCGTGTGCCAGCAGCTTCAGCCGCCGCTTACCACCTCCTCTCATAGTCCCTCCTCCTCCTTACTTTCCCTCTCCTTCTGCTGCACTCTGCAGGGTGTACCACTTCAGGGGGTGTTCTGCATATGGCTATTCCTGCATGCACTTAGGGGGTGCGTCAGAATATATTCTATATATATTGTTGTATAATTGCATGTAGTTCTAGCTGTAGTGTAGTTATATAGCTGTCATGTTTGGTGGTGCACCCTTTGGCTTTCTATATCTTGTAACTCCTCTACTAGTGAAGCCCTCTTTGCTTTGACAACTCTCTTGACACTCTCTTGCCTAGCCTAAACCCTAGGCTCATTGTTCTATGTTATGAAGCTATTTTGACAGGCTCATTTGTTAACCCGCAATTGGCTGGTAACCCGCGATCCAGCCCTACGCCCCAATATCAGCACAACGACCGTAGGGCCCCTCTGCACGAGCATACTCCCATTACCAATCTCTTTTGCTATAAACATTCGTTCATACCTTTGCTCATTGTCAGGCCATATATTATCATGATACAAGATCCTAATTACATTGATTTCAAGTTTAGGCAAGGGTACAACTTCAAAATTTGCTTTGCTTTTTATATAGCTCTAATAACCACTATTGTTAGAATCTAGCAGCAGGAATGTGTGAACTAGTGGCATGCAGGAGTACAAGTAGTAAACCCTAATTGGGCTGTACCCCATATGGGCTACCCCACTACAGCCTAGACAATATGTAGCATATATGTTTGACACACCCCCATAGGCAAAGTGGGGGAGAACAAGGGGTCAAACGACCAGTCAAGAGAAGCAAAGCAAGCTCAGGGTGGATCTCAACGTCACCACACATTCTGAGCACAAGCAAAGGGCCACAAGGCCAGTCCACATGCAGAGATATATATGCAGCAATAACAATACAGTGATGACTACCTAGCAAGAGCAGGCATGCATGTATATATATAGATCACAGTACAAGCAGAGACTACAGCAAGTGTGGAAACGTAGGCACAAGGCCTAACAAGGTACAAAAGCGCTGATGATCACCAGACGGAAGTGCCTTGGTGAATATATCAGCAGTGTTGGCTCGAGTGGCCACGTGACGAAGACGAAGCTGGCCTCGCTGCTGCAACTCTCGAGCCAGGAAGTAACGCAGAGCAATGTGCTTCGTTCTGTGCTCCAGTCTGTGCTCCTCACACAAGGCAATGGCGGCCTTTTTGTCGACGTACAGCACTGGAGGAGAACGAGGCTGCTCTCCCAAGTCAGTCAGCAGGTAGGTGAGCCAGCGTAACTCCTGTGCAGCCATGGCTGTGGCGTAGATCTCAGCCTCACAACTGGAGCTGAGAACTGAAGACGAGCGTGTAGAACGCCACGAAACTGAACCAGAGCCAAGGCTGAAGGTGTAACCCTGCGACGACCGCTGAGTAGCCAGGTCGTCAACCCAAGAAGCGTCTGAGTGCCCAGTGAGGACAACTGGGCTCGTCCCTCCAAGCACTAGCCCCATGCCTGATGTGCTGCACAAGTAGCGCAGTACCCTCTTAGCAGCAGCCATGTGCTCAGGTCGGTGCCGACCAGGAGCCACGTAGCGAGCCAGAAGACCAAGAGGGTACGCGAGGTCAGGTCGAGTGCAAGTCATCAGGTACATGAGGCAGCCGACTAGCTCTGGGTAAGGACCACTCGGCTCTACGGACTCGTCCGAAGGTGGAGCTGAGAGCGAGTGACCTGTAGCCAGAGGAGTGGCCTGTGCTGAAGACCAGGTGAAGCCGAAGCGCTGAAGGACCTGCTGCACCATGTGTGACTGAGTCAGGGTGATGGTGCGGCGTGCTCTGTCCCGGGTGATCTGCAAGCCAAGGTAGCTGCGCAGCTCACCCAAGTCTGTGCACGTGTGTCTCTTCTGCAGCTCCGACTTCACGTGGGCGAGAGCCTCAGTGTCAGAAGTGGCAAAAACCAAGTCGTCGACGTACACGAGGATGTAGAACGGCGGCAGTGAAGTGTCGGTGCGCAGAAACAGCGACGGGTCAGCAGTAGAAGGCGCGAACCCAAGAGCCGCAAGCGTAGTCCTCAGTGTGTCGTGCCACTCACGTGGCGCCTGGCGGAGACCGTAGACCGGCCGCCGGAGGCTCCACTGGGTGCCAGGAGGGAACGACCCAGTGAAGCCCGGGGGGCGGCGCAGCCAGATCTCCTCGTGCAGGCTGCCCTGTAAGAAAGCAGTGCTGAAGTCAAGAGAGTGAAGCTCGTAGTCACGGTGAGCAGCAACGTGCAGCAGCACCCGAAGAGTGGTCATCTTCGGGGTGGGGGAGAAGGTCTGGAAGAAGTCAACTCCCTCTCGCTGACTGAAGCCTCGAGCCACGTAACGCGCCTTGAAGACAGGCAGAGAACCCGGCGGCCGCTTCACCCTGAAAATCCACATGCCACTGACGATGTTCGCCCCAGGTGGGGGAACCTCGTCGACATAGGTGCCTGTGGACTTCCAGGAAGCCATCTCTGCGTCCATGGCTGCCTGCCACTGAGAGGAGTAGGGACTCTCTATCGCCTCTGCGTAAGAG